TGTAATTGCGCAGTACGTTTATACGAATTTCATTCCCGTCACTTTATTTCGCACATGACTCGCCAAAATGAAAGACAACTTTGGAAAACTATTATAAAACTGCCCTCTTTAAAATATATTAGCTAAATATCGCAACTAACAATCCAAATCTTGAATCTACTATCGATATTGTGTAATTACGCAGTACGTTTACAAGAATTTCATTCCCACCACTTTATTTCGCATATGTCACGGCAGAATCGAAAAAAAATTGACAAAACTATTAAAAAAGTGCCTATTCGGTGTTGTGTCAACTAAATATTGCAACTGACAGTCAAAACCCAGAATTTACGAACGATATTCTGTATTTACGCAGTACGTTTATACGATTTGCATTCCCCTCCAATTTATTTAGCACATGTCACATCGAAATCGAAGAAAAACTATGAAACCTACTAAAAAATTGTGAAATCTAATAAAAAATTGCTTATTTAAAGCTATGTCAACTAAATATCACAATTGTCAAACGAAATCTAGAATCTACGAACAATATTCTGTATCTACGAAGTATATTTACACGATGTGCTTTCCCGCCAATTTATTTCGCTCACGTCACATCGAAATCGAAGAAAAACTATGAAACCTACTATAAAACTGTGAAATCTAATAAAAAATTGCTTATTCCAAGCTATGTCAACTAAATATCGCAATTGACAAACGAAATTTAGAATCTACGAACAATATTCTGTATCTTCGAAATATATTTACACGATGTGCTTTCCCGCCAATTTATTTCGCACACGTCACGTAAATATCGAAGGAAAATCGGGAGAACTATTAGAAACCTGCTTTTTCCAAAACATATTAACTATATATCCTAATCCATAATCAAAATCTAGAATCTATAATCAGTATTAGGTTCGTGGTATCACTTTTTGAATGCACTTTGTCACTTCATTTCGTTCCACACGTCGTATATTACCATCGATATATTACGCGTATCATTGTGTATACGCACCATGTAACCTCACTTCGTTTCACGTGTAGTATATCACCATCGAACAAATGTTGTCAGATATCTCGATTTTTGTAATGTTCTCTCGATATTTTTCACTTAAGTCGTGTCCCACTCGTAAATATTACGACGATGTTACAAAAGTAACCTACAATTCCAATGTGACGACGTAATAACTTATACCGTTCGTTATTGTTCTGGAATTTATATTTCGTCGTTTGTAGCAATTAAAACATCAATCGGTGATAATACTAGTTCGCCAAATGTTTTCTGCAGGCATTGAAAGTTTTATTTTAACGCGCGAAAATAATCCACCGTATCTTACCGATACGTTCGACTCGGCATCGACTGGAGGTTGGCTGCGATTCGACAAGCTAAGCATTATTAACGCGGGAAAATGCTTCATCTTTGAAATAGTCAAGTGCTAAATTATCGATGTTGAATATCAAACAATGTCTTTTATATTTATTAATAATAAATAAAACAAATCTAAATGCTGTCCTACTACGATAATAACAAATTATAAAGTTCTTAACCTCCATGACAAAAACGTAATGAATTAATAAAATGAAAATCTACATAGAAGTCATTAATGACAAAGAGAGGAGCTCGTATAAATAAAAAGGTTTTAAGAACTAAAATAACATTTTAATTGAATGTTTCATTAACCACTGAAATTTCTTTTAGGTATCACTGGAAGTAAGGATTATAATAGCCTAACTTTCAAAGAACAGCACTGTGATGCTGAAATTTATAAAATACAAAAATAAGGTATATATATATATGTGATTTCTACTGAAAATTGTTTTTTGCCACATTTGGGCCCCACTATGCGACGATACGATTAAGTTTGACCGCGCTACTTTATTCATAATATAAATTTTCGAGCAGCTTGTAAGGAATAAAGTTCCTCTTGATTTACATGGATACCGTCCAACAAATAAGCTCTTATTTTCTCGTTAAGGATCTCGTAAAGCATCGAAAGTTTTGACCGAGATATGGAAATAAGAAATAAAGGGGAAGAAAGAGGGCGAGCTTATTACTCCTGTTTCATATTTCATCGGTTTACATCCGTTTACCTATCAGATTGGATATACTTTTTAACCAAGCCGCAATCGGTCTACCCACTCGTCTGCCTCTTTTATTTTAATAACGAACTATTAACGGACTTCTCCTCACTCTTTGCTCCCTTCTCGTAGCATCGGTGATCAGATTCTCTCTCGCCCTTATACACCCTCTTCGTCGGAGCTCCGCTTTGAAGTGAACGGTCGGCGATTGTAAAACTTTATCGTAAAAGAGAAAACAGGAATTATTACTAGCCCGAGCTCGTCCCGCCGCGTGATTTCCCTTAGACATTATTATTATTCCCGGAGTACGTATTTCAATGAGCTCACGTTTCAACCGCCTCGGCTCAGGACTTTCAGTCTCGTCGAATCTATTTGATCCTTTAACGAGAAACCGATTCCCGATCGGTTCATCGTTTTTAATACAATGCCACGCGTGTGTTTCTCCGTCTTTAATCGTGGTTATCGTGCATTTATCGCGACACGCGCTAATACTCGTGCAACCTCGACGCGACTACCTTTGATGCGCGACTGGAATTCACGGCATTTGATCTGAATTAGTGCGCTTTCCAGCGCGGCGCCGTCCAATTTCTCTTGCTGCTATTCATCACGCTTTCAAGCGCGTTGCTCTCGTAGATAAGTACGTCGCGATAAACTTCAATTAGCGATATCAATCTGACGATCGTTGTTAATTTATCGCGTCGACGTATGCCGCGTTATCGCGTATGCTGTCGGCTCGACTGTTCAACGCCGTTTCTTTCGAATAACGATTATAACAACGAAAGAAGGCACGAGGCGCGATAACGAGCAAGTGACTCGTGCTTTTTCCGTGCATCGCGATTACGAAATGGCAAAAATACGGTAGCGAAATCGTAAATTGAAGCCGATCGATCGGCTGTTCCACCCGTTCCTGATAAGAATCGCATCGAGGGCGAAGTTTCGGAGCAGGATTTTTGGCAATTCGCTCGTGCAGGTGCAAGCAACGCTTGGAGTTTAACGTTTGACCGATTTTACGAGCTCTCTGTATCGCGCAGACTACTATAACAACCCCTTTAACTCGTAAGACGAGGCTTGTCCGCGGCGCATACATATCTTTCTCGGGGTACTTTATCTCAAAGACGACATCGCTCACTAGTCACGGGAAATGGCTCTCGCAATCTTTTCCCTGAATGCCGGTTGCGAGTCCGCTCGACATTCACAGGATATTAAATGAAAACATTGGACCGTCTTCTAGTCGACGGAACTACCTAATATTTGCCAAGAACGATATCGCAAAGGAACCATCAGCAGACACGGTTCTTTTCTTTCTTGCTTGCTTGCTTGCTTACTTGCTCTCCGGTCGGAGTACCCACTTCAACCGAGGGCCTAACTTATACCCTGGTTAAACGTGAAAACCCCGGGACGAGAAACAGAAGATCTGGAAGGAGGCACGCGAAATCGCATGAGACCGAGATACGCCTTAAAATAATCTTGCCATTTCGCTGGTACGCGCTGCATAATGCCACAGACAGCTACGGTACGCTCGGCTCGAGCCGAATAAACCGAGAGATGAGTAGATTTTATCGCTATCAATTTACAATACGGCCCTCCACGACCGCACCACGACAGGTTTTACGGTCCCGTTCTGGTCAACTAACACAAAACGGATCTTATCGACCGCACCCCGATTGTTTGCTCAAATAGAGAGCCAATTTTATGGTTTATACACTGCCGCGAACCGAAATGAATGTTTTCATTTCCCACGAATTAACGATACATCCCGAGCTCTTTATATTTATTTTTTCCTATCCACTTTTTTCCCCCTTTTTTCCCTTTTTATTTATTTTTCCTCTCCGTTTTTATGCTATTTTTCAGCTTTTGTTTTCATACTTGAAAGCGTTGATTGGAAATTTTACGCGTAACAGATTAGCGCGACGTTGTCCCCGGAAACGATCGAAGGGTCGAAACAATGGACAACGCGAAAGCGAATATTCGAACGAAATTTTATAACGGTACCGGTCTGTTTATCATCGCTTTTTCGAGCGTGACCATTGGGGAAAAGGCTCGAATCGAGCGCGAACGATGATCCGGCAGACCATCATTGCATTTATGGATTGAATATCGAGACTCATCATCGGCAATCAGCCATCAACAAAATACGACGGGGCTGCATCGATGGAGATAAACAACAAACGGTTACCTTGATTCACGAACGTGATATGATCTTTCATTGTTGTTTCACGTTGTATCATTAACAGAGGATAATTATCGAGCAAAGTATCCCGTTACAATTGACGCTGCCATGGCATCCTGCACTGCTGGAAACGTCGGGAATCACGGCTAAACGGAACGGTCGATTCGTCGAACTTTAATGATCTCGATGAATCGCTTCGTCGAGTTCTCGTAGAACAAACTGTTTCTTTGATATTTCGTTAATTATTTTCGCACTTGGCGAAGCGAAGTACGCGGCGAGATTTCCGGTGTACCCGGCACACGCGAGCTTTTCCTGTAAGTCGAGTGGCTCGGTACACTCGGTTCAGGGAAGATTATCAGTGTTAACGATGCCATTCTGATGGCGGGGTACGTGTACGCCAAGTCTACGCGAGTAAAGTACCGTTAGTGCGTATGTTAGCACGTACGGTTACGTGTAATTAAATCGGCGTCGGGTCCACCCCGCGCGCTCTTACCCGTTTATTAATTAACGCGTTACGTACGAAATTATTACCATGCGATAAAACCGTCTGGGTAACGACAACGATATCGCGACGTTTTATTCCCCGCTTATTTTCATTCATCCCCGCCGCTCGCGAAAGTAATTAATTACAATCGATACTGAATATTCAGTGTGTTTCGGGTAAGTTTATTGCAGACGGCGCCGACAGCTTTCCACCACTCGTATGGTCGTCATTTTTTCCACGGTGCGAAGCGTCCGTTCTTCCGTGAACAGTTTAATGGCTGCAGCCCTAGCAGTAATCGAACTCCTCGCTTCTCCTCGATGTACGCTTCTGACACGCGTGTATCGCCGGCAACGTAGACTCGGCTGCACAGATAGTGACCGAAGACGTAGACTGGGAAGACGCATCGCTATCGCAGGTATCTAAAAGTTTCTCGATCGATCCCGGCACTGTAGGTTTAAATCTTCCGCCGAGAGCGCGGGCGCTGCGAAGGATGGCCTTCTGGATCGCTTTCTCGGCTTCTTTCCGCTCGTATTTCATGCACTCGATCTCCTTTCGCAATTGGTACACCTACGAACATCGTATTTTATCGTCACGCACAGGTTGCCGCATCGAGCCGATCGACTGATTAATCGAAAACCCTGGCCGAACGGAAACCCCGGCTAACAAAGGGTGGATTCGTAACCAAGAATATGTTTTACACGCACGAACGAATCGTTTCGTGATTCGCTAGCCACGAATTGGCCCGTGTTATTCGTAAGGAGTCAGTCAACCGGTCGATCCGTGAGAGAATCGTATCCCACTTCGCATTCCAACTTTTGGATTCGGTTGCTCTCGCATTTCGGACACCCCATCGACACCGATTTACCCTCCTTCCCCGGACACGTTTTCGGTGCACACTTCGTAGGCTGTTGCTTCGTCGCACAGGTTACACGTTGCGACACTTCTTTCGAGGACGAACAGACTGCCTCGTCGATCTGTTTCCAAGCTCTTTTGCTTTCGTCTGTTCGACATACCTCCCGCGGTTTCTTCGATTTCACCCGGGGACAAGGTACATCACGAATGAATCTTTTAATCACTTGCTTCTGCGGGCATGGTATTACTTGCAGATGCGTTGGCATCGCTTTGCGTCGCTTCGATATCGAGCAGCTTTTCCGTTTAAATTTGATACATGGTTTCGAAATTTGATGGCGTGAAACTCATCGCGTGAACGTGTCTCCTGTCGAGAATTCGATATGGCGCTGTCGAACGCGTCGATGTCGGATGGATGTTCTTTATTCTTGGAATTTTATTCAGGAAATGCGAGTCCACGGAGAACAAGACGTTCTCCCATCATTTCAAGGCGTCTTTCTTTTTCGAGCTCTTCAACAATTTTATTCGCAACTTTTTCTTACGACTTCCATCCTCGGCGTTGTTCTTCGATCGCGACGGTTCCTCGTGATTTTCCGCGGACTTTTGCGGCACGCGCTTGCTCGCGTCGGGTTGCAGATTGCGACCCAACGAAGGAAATCCTGTGGCGAAACCCGTCGGGCCGTTGAAGGCAGCTAGTCGACTTTCGTACCCAACACTGTCGCGTTTCAATTTGCTGTTCTCGTTTTCCAATCGAGCGATCTCTTTCTCCAGCTGTGCCATGCGTTTGTCCTTCTCGCTGACCTTCTTGTTCCTTCGGTAGACCTTCTTGTTCCCCGTGGACATCGCCGGAAACGGTGAAACGGTTCGAGTCGGTGATTAAAGTTGTCGTTGGTACCGGTATCCGGAATCGATTACATTTTTCGCGACGCGAAGAGGTGTCGCCACCTAGCAACTGGGAAACATATGAAATATCCTGCCTCGTGAACCGTTCCGTTGAAAATCGTCTTTTATCGCGGTACAAAGTCGTCAAACTTCGCACTCCGCGGAATCAATCCGTTTTATACGTAACATACGCTTAAACGATCGCGTGTCACGGCTTTTCTCCGTGCGACGAGCGTATCCCTTCGCGCGTATCGCTTTTCATGCACGCAGCCATGACGCGTACCGAGGATAGAGTAGAATGGCGTTCGAAGGGGGCAAATCGTCCCTTTTTTTCCTGCTGAATCGTCCAACTAAATGAAACATCCCCGGCATGGCGAAACCGTCGCAATATTTTTAACGCGACCCCGTAATAATATCGTTTACAAACGAGATCCTGCGGGGTGAAAAACCGGCACTTTCCTCCGGTTCTTTATTCCATTAAAGCGGGGAGTCCTTATAGTTCCGAGCGGAAACTCCGCCAGCCAGACAGACGGTGGCTCGCCTCGAATTCTCCTCACACCCCTCGGTCGTTACCTCTTTTTCATCCGGATACTGTAACGGCCTGTTGCCGTTACCGATATTGAGGAGGCTTTAATACAGGCCTCGCTGCATTAACAGGATTCGGAATATCGTCGCGAATTCAATTCGCGAACTACCCTGCTGCCTTTAAATATTTATAAAAAGCCCGGCAAGGTCGTGGAACCGGGCGCCGCGTCGTTTCTCCTTTCTTCGTCGGCTCCGTGCACGTGCACGGCTCGTGCAAGGCTAAGTCCGGCTTAGGTAAATAAATTTCCGTCGAGTTCGTTTATCGAATTCCACGACGCGGTGGGCTCACCCCCGTTCGAATTCAACCCTTCGCGACGACGCGAACACGAACACGAACACGACGAAGGGTGATTCTCGTCTTACCGTGCTCAGCCGTCGATGCGTGTCGGCGAACGCACACGAGGACGGAAGTTTCGTTGCTACCACGAACGCATATGCCGGCCAGCCGAATTTATTTAACCCAATTAAGGGACCCCGTTGAGAATCCTCGAGCGACTGCTCGGTCGATCAAAAGTTACACGTGTTTTTGTCAGCTCTCGTTTGACGCGAAAGCTCGCGGAGAAACGAGGTGAAATACGAGACGAGCGGGAGAGAGATTAAGAGCGGGTGAAGAAGTAAAGCGAGAGGGTGTCCCGTAAACGAGCAAGTGTCCGCTCGAGTAAGAAGCCCCCTGTCGACGATGGAAACCACCGAACGCGTAGCCTGTAGTAGGAATCGAGGAAACGGATATACCGTTTCAAGATCGTCGCGAGAGGATCGATCGACTTATCCCCTGCTTTTAATTAGTGACCCGTTAGGTAAAGGGATAACGTTGTAGCGGGGTGAACGTAATCAATTCGCGAAACGATGCTCGGAGAGGTTTTACGAGCGCATAAAACCGAGTCGAGAGATGAAACATCCAGACGAAGGGTAAAAGGGTAAGCTTGGCGAACGTTGGAAAAGTATTAAAATGGCCACGGGTTTCTTTCGTCCCTCGAAGACTTCGTTCGAATCGCTCGACCCACGGGTAGTCACGTGAACTTCCTTTCTATTTCGCTAAACGATATGCACGCCGCATTTTTATCACTGACCACACGCACACGCAGCGATCCTGCCGGCGAGAGAGAGAGAGAGAGAGGGAGAGGGAGGAGAAAGATAAAGAGAGAGAGAGAGAAATCCAATTACTACCTGTGCCGCATTTGGCATGATACGAATGGAGTCTATCCGCTCGAAGCTGCATCTATTTCGCATCAGGTGGAAGCCAATTGTGCAGGCCATGGCAATCGCAACCCCCGGCTCGATAGCGCTCGGCTAAATTATTATAATGTCGAACGAACAAAGCATAGCTCGCCGGAAATTCTATGCTAATGAATTACGAAATCGAATCTGACTACGGCAACGTTTGCCGCGCCAATACACTTTTAACCCATCCCGTTCAATTACCGCTCCCATATAGAAACGTATCCTCGCGTTTCGCGGAATTTTTCATCGACGATCGTAAGCGAGACACTTTTGTCGCTAATGGAGATGTTTAAAAAAAAAAGGGGGGCTAGAGAAGGAGTAGAAAAAGGGAAGAAAAAGGGAAGAAAAAGAGATGGAAATAAAGGAAAGGTGAAAGAGAAGAGAAAGGAGGGAAAAATAAGGTTGCTACCGGGAGATAGGATCTTGACGGGAAGAGAGCGTTGTTGATACTAGCTCCATCCTCCTCCATGCAACTCGTCAATTACGGAACACGTAATGAATGAGCGCCTTCATAATTCGCGAAAAAAAACTTATCTCCTCGCCCCTTTAACGCATCAACGGCTGCCGTCAACAGGCGCCCGTGCGCTTGGCTTAGCTCGGGACGTAGTAATGATTCTACGGAACAGAAGTAAATGTAGAAGACCCGCCACCTTCGTGTCTCCGCTATTTCTCGTCGCGACAGACCGTATAATGCGGGCACGGCCGTGACGCGACAGAGAACGCACACGCATAGAAGGTTTCACCGAAACCGCCGTTCGTCTCGACGATCCTTGACGGAAATTCAGAAGTTGCGTTTCCTTCGCCTTCTCCGCCCCTCGTCGTTTCTTTTCCGATTCTGTTTCCCTTTTCCTTTCCTTTCCCCGTTTTCTTCCTTTTCTCATTTTGCAAACGCATAATAGTACTTACGCGGCGAGCGATAAGGGTTTTACGCGTGAAAATATAGCGTCACGAACGTGCCTCACCCCAGACCACTCGCATTCAGAGACGCGAACGAACGTTATTAAGGACGCTCGTCGTGGACGAGGCTGGTGGTACCGAACCCCGCCTTAATGGATTCAACGTCGAAGGATTTCATTTATCCGGACCAATGTGTAGGCGCGTGTTTTCGATGACGAACGGACGAGCAGACGATAAAAGGAGAAATTTCAGGGAGGCGCAAAAGTCTCTCTCTCTCTCTCTCTTTCACTCTCTCCTTCCCCCGGGAAGAACCCAATACGAACGAACTAGACTCGCAGATCCATGGCCGAACCCGAGGAGCGTGCGTGCATATGTGCGTACGCGCGCGCGTAATATTGCAAACGCATTTATACTATATGCGTGCAGTATGCAAGAACGTACGCACCTCTATACCCTACGAACCTTCCCATTGCATCGTGCACTAATCACGGTAAAAGCCGTAGCTCGCACCCGTTATATCCGTTATCCGGCTGTGTCTTGCCTTACTTAATGGAAATATGAGAGGCGTTACACTCGTCTGGTGACACGTCTATTTCGTTTTTTTATTTCTAGTAATACCGCGGGGACATTGTTCCACAAACACGGCCGCCGTTGTGTCAACGCGCCGCGTCGACGTCTCTCGACTCGTCGTCGCGGAGCGGCGCGGCGCCTCGCCCTCTATCCGAAATTGCGTTCGCGTTCGCGAAAGGTACACGGCCAATGATAATCGAGCGTCTCGAAACGGCGCCAAACTGGTTCTCAGACCCCTCGACGACGGTGGAAAGAGGAGAGAAAAAAGAAATGGGAATCGATTGGCCTGGCGTTCGACCGAAAGCATCGAACTCGCGGATGCAGCGTGCCGGTGAAAAAGATCGTCATTACGGTTCCGTAATTACCAAGCACACGGATAATGTCAGAGTCAATTAAACGCGACACGCCGTATCGCTTCGGTTCTCCATGGGTGTACGCAACAGCGATCGCGTTGATGTTTTCAGGATTCGAGTTCCGCTAGTCGTGTCCACCTGTGAGCGGTAGAGGGCAAATTGTGATTTATGCGGCCAACGTGTTGCCGACTGACGAAAGAGAATTGCGGACGTAATGAGTTATGGTGAGTCGCGGCTTAATGCAAATATATGGTCCGTTGCCGTGTAATCAGCCAGTCGCTTGACATCCGCGCGTGTGTCCGCGACGGAACGGAACGCGTTTCGCCGTGTCCTACGATCGTCGTTTTTTCTTCTTCGATCTAGAAACCGTTCCACGGGGGCGTACGCGATCGTTGGTTAACGTTTCGCCATAGTGGTATTCCGCTGGCAATCGAGTCGCCGTCGCCAAAGCTCCTTTATCCACTCCGGAACCCTTCGCTCGGACAACATTGGCATATTTTCCGTGTAACTTCAAGGGTGGGAACCCTTCGCCGGTGTACAGATTGCGCCGTATCGGCGGCAACCCGTCCAGATCGAACACGAAACGCCATGGTTACCGTGTTATTAATTCACGGATAATTTCGATCGCGTTTATTAACGACGGATAGTAATATCCTTAGGCAAATCCGACGATATTCGACGCATGGCGCACATCGTCTCGCGGGCAAATAATAACGCTTCGAGCGGAAACGCTGGCAAATTACAGCGAGTCGCGTGGTAAATTACGCATTAATATTAACGCGTGCTAGAACGTTATCGCGCAACGCATAAACGCGCATATATTTTCCGTCCGATCTCACACGCGATTTCCGCCTTTCGGCTCCAAGCAGCCACGGTGAATTCGATAACAAAACGCGAACTAGTTTTCGAAGGGCGGTGCGCAGTCTCCGCGATAGCAAGCTTCTCTAGGGCTGTGTGCTCGTTGAAACCAACCCTTGATAGGTGCACTTTTGGGGTAGCCGGCAAGCCCCCTACGCTAGTGACTGTGCTTCAAGCCTCGAGTACCCACCGAGACGCGCAAGAGCGAAGGGCTGTGCGTATACCGGCTGTGTCACGACACGAGCTACATCCAAGATGAAATTTCAAATATTCCACGCTTCGCGTTTAATCCTCTTTTTAAGGAAAATCCGTGCTCGCAAACGCCGCGACGCTCGAGCAACTTCTCCTCGATGCCGGAGTACGCCACGTCCGTGTCCGTATTTCGGAATTCTTTTATCCAATGGCGAACACTCTGAAACGAAAAGAACTTCGCGTTACGAATCAACTCGAGGGAGAAAAGATAAATATACGCACTTAGGGTCCCTCGATGAGGTAGCTGCGATAATGTGAAAGACCATCGGGCCATTTCGGTGACTATTTCGATGCTATTTCGGTCTAGTACGCGGCGCGTACGCTCGTGCCGTAAAGCCTTGTTTTACGATTCAAATATCCATACCGCAAACTTATTCTTCGCGAACGTTTACGACTGAAACGTAACGTTTTCTTGCCTACGCGCGTTTTACGGGCTGTCGAAGAGTATCGGCCGATGACACAACGCCACCCGTAAGGCTCTGCTTTTCAACCGAGATTGCCTGAGCTTTGCGCCGGAAGCACACGTGTTTCAAAGGCGGCTGCTCGTCGCGTCTACAAAGGGCGGAAAAAAAGAAGAAGCAGAGTTACGGCCGACACACTGGATTCCCATCTGTGACGACGCCGCGTCGCTCCGAGAATCGCGACGAGACGAAGAATTACGGAAATTACTTAATTCGTTGCTCTCAAAGGGGCACGAACCTCAAACGGATTCCAGAAAAGGCAACCGCGTTGTTGAAACGTGGCGCCTTTGATAAACGAGCATCTATCGTCGATCATTCCCCGATTCATCCTGAAGGTAGGCTTTGTAAACCCGCACGATCGTTGAACCGTGCAAATTTTGCCACGATTCTGTCACGCGTGAGAACGTTTAGCCTCGCGTAAAATCGTGCTTGAAGAAAGGGACACAATGTCTGGGTGAGACTTTCATTGAATCGTCGTCGATGTCGCGGCGAGAAACGTACCCGCAGACGATCATGCGACACGTACATACGTCATTAGCGCCATATAAAATACAGCCGACCTCTCGACGGTTTCGCTCGTTTCATCGAGCGGATGCGCGTGGAAAATAATATCGTTTCTGCCGGGAGGGTACGCGAGCGCGCGACGAAGAGGGGAAAAAAGGAATAAACGGGTTTAAATGGCGGGTAATTAAAAAACGGGAAGTAAAATCAGTCGGGGTTACAGCTCATTAGTTTTCAGCGGCGGTGAACGGTGACAGAGGCGGCGAAAATGCCCGTTGAATGCCGGATATAGCAGACGCGTTATGTCATCGGGCGCACACAGCCGCGGAATGACGCGTGTACGTGTCCCGTGGCGGCGTTAATTGGCTCCGCGATGAATATTACAAAATACCGGCGGCTGAAAGGAGAGGCATCGCTTTAATTACGATATAATGCCTGTCGGTCGAGCTCCTCGCGTGAAAGACCGCGATACCTTCTCTCTTGCGTTACGCGACTGCCGGCAACACCTCGCTTTCATCCAATCGCTTAATATGGAAATCGTTCAAGAAAGCTTCCTTCTAGCTGGATCCATTCGGCCAGGACGAGCGATGGCGCGCAACGCTTTGAATAAACGCGCGATAATGGTAAAATCGAGATTCGACTCGTGGTAAGAAAGTAAGTTTCGAGCACTCGCGCTTTTGAAAATTTTAGGCTTTCAACTATGCCGACGTGGACTCGAAAGGATACTTGTGCAAACGAGAATACGAGATCGCGATGACGGCTGTTTTTGGATGCCGCCCGGATGAGGTGAGGATTTCCGAAAGAAGAAACTGGGACTCTTTGTCGAAAAGAATAGACTGCGACTATTGATTTTGTTTTCAGATGGAAATGGAACAAGTTTTCCGATCTACCGATAGAATCTCGTATGAAAAGTTCAAATCGTGGGTATACGAGAAAAGAAGTGCGGTATGCAAAGTTAATGCAGAAGTATTATTCGCTTTACTGGATAGGGATTGTATGCGTTTATTGGTAATGAGATTGACACGTTTTTCAAGAAATATCAAAGAGTCTTTTCTGTAGATAAAGGATATTTGGTATTGGATGATTTTTACTCTGCAAGCAAGTTTGTCAATTTGAAGATACCATTGGCAGTATGGCAAATGGTGTTTAAGGAGTTGGATCGTTACAAAAGAGGATATATCGATTTTCATGAATTTTTACGTATATTATCGACAACGTAACAATTTACACTGAAATAATATGACTTGGTACAACGTAGCTCGGGTATGAAACAATCGGTAAATAAATTAAATGATATTTCGTATTTTATTACAATATCATAAAAGGATCTACTATATTAGCACGTTATCTATATTCTTATATATTATAATACAGTCTACGTAGATTAGTACGAAAATAATTATAATTCATAAGTCAAAATACAAATTTCTTACCGATAATGTACAAGACGCATTACGCTATACGCAGTAGAAATAACTAATATTATAACATGTTATATGACTATATACTTATAAAATATATATCACATAAAACAAATAGATATTTCTATCACAAAATACATAGCCGTAGAACGTTTATTCTTTGTCGGAAAATTCTTCACTCGCCAGATGGTAAAAATGGGAATTGGTATTTTGAATTAATAAATTTGGCTCGTCAAATTCTAAAATCTCTCCGTCTTCCATCACGAGAATTCTAAAATTAAAAGGAAAAAGAAAAAGAAGTGCGCGTTAAATATACGCATACTGATTAATCGCGAACCTAACATACCTATCACAGGACATAATCGTCCTTATCCTATGGGCTATAGTGAGCACCGTAGAGGTCTGGAAACATGACTTTATCGTTGCTTGAATAAATCTGTCTGTTTCTTGATCAACGTTCGCTGTTGCTTCATCGATACAGACGATCTATAAGAAAAGATTAATAATTGAAATTTAGACAAAATACTTGCATTCAAAGTGGAAATATTCTGAATTTATAACTTAAAGGGATACTGATACCTTAGCATTATGTAAAATTGCTCTGACTAAACACAATAGCTGCTTTTGACCTGCACTGAGATTGCTACCATTTTCGTCTAAAGCAGCACTGAGTCCTCCCAAACGATATACTAACGAATGAATTTTACATTTCTCGACTGCTTTATATATATGCAAGTCTGGATATTGATTTAACGGATCAAGATTCTCCCGAATCGTACCCGAAAATAGAAATGGATTTTGAGGTATGATAGCTAATCGAGACCTAGAAAGATTTAAACTCTTATTTATAATTACTGGTCAGCAAACACGACGTTCTAAATTAAGTAACTAATTTAATACATGAAAAAAACGATACCTTACTGCATTTAACTGCAGACTCTCTATATTTACATTATCGATTAATATGCTTCCGGAAGTTATTTCCGTTAATCTAAACAATGAAGCAAATAAGGAACTTTTACCAGCTCCAGTACGACCAACAATACCAATTTTTTCTACCGGTCTCGTAATAAACGACACACCATTCAAAGATGGCACTAAATGCTCTCTGCAAGGTTTAGATGTTAGTTACAATACTGAATGGTAGTTTCCAATTAGTCGCGTTATTTACCTGTACTTTAAAACGACATCTTTAAATTCAACTACACCTTGACTCGGCCAAGCATACGGAGGATTATCACCTCTTACACTTTCAACCGGAGCATTTTCTAAATACTGCTTTACGCGTTCAACCGCGATCATTTCTTTCTCTGTTTCGGTAAATGAATTTACTACGCCAGAAAGCAACCCAGTTACGGATAATGTATAAGTAATAATAAGACCTATCAAACCAGGATCTGCAATATCATATTGATGTTGTAAAATGGCAATATTGCTCACACCCGCTAAAAGTGCTACTCCGATAAGTTGCAATCTTAATGCAAGCCATTGGCTGACAGCAAACGATGCAAACTGAGTTTTCTGACTGATTTCTAGAAAGAATTCGTTTTCTTGTTTAAAGCGGGATACGGTGCGAAAAGCTTTAATAGTAGATAATCCATGTAGGGTCTCGTTAAGATGAGCATATAACGGTGAAAGTGCAGCACTGGATAAACGCTTTAATTCTCTCGATGCTAATCTGGAAAATATCAATGAAGGAACACATGTTTCATAATATGTACGTAGAGTTTTAAACTACATACCTATAGTGATTTTGAATCCAATGGTAAATCGGTATCAACGGCGCTAATACCAAGAGTATCCACGGCAATCCATAAGCTATAACAATAATCGTTGCTACCAGGCCAAATAGCTGAGCTAATAATATATTAGCAATAAAAGGAAGACTATCATCGACTGTATACGTATCAGATGAAAATCTATTTAGAATTCGACCCAAAGGTTGAATGTCGAAAAATACAGCTTTAGCCTAAAAACATATCCTATGTAATGTATGCTATAGATACTTCAGCATGATATTAAATATTTTTCATCGAGTCTACATACCCGTATTACAACCTTTAAAAGTTGTTTATGTATAGAAATAGCTGCCTGAATTCCACCGTATGCAAACATAAACGCCCTCATTGATGTGAATAATGTATTGAGCACAGTCAACACTGCATACACCGTTAAATAATAATTAGTGCTCATGTTATGATCGTCGAAGAAATATTGCAGACGCAAAGATGTTGAACTATTTGTGGTATTTGTAGTTGTATTAGTATGAGTAACCCAATAAGAAAGCCATAAATCCGTGACATTTTTGGAACTTTGCATTAAGATCATAGAGAGGATTATTGAAATTGCTAAATAATAGCCTATTGCTTTTATGTAACAACTATACACTCCTAATCGTACTATGCCTTTTTCTTTATATTCTTCATCGAGCAAGGAATCTTTTTCTGCCCTATTAACTAAATACGAATCTTTTGGTAAATCTTTCGAGGATAGATCATTTAAATTTGACGTCATAGATTCTGAAGATAACAAATAATCTTCTAAATCAGATAAAACATCGCTTGGTTTACCCTGATTAATGATCTCGCCTTTTGACATTTCAATTACTTGATTTGCATACATTAAGTATCGAGTTTGATGAGTACATAATAATCTTGTTTTAGTACTCAATAAGCCTAAAATAACATTTTTAAATATATAATTGGCGACTTTTGGATCTAAAGTCGCTAGAACATCATCTAATAAGTAAACGTCTTTATCTGCATATACAGCACGCGCCAAAGAAACTCTTGTTTTTTGACCTCCACTTAACGTATTTCCTGCGTCAGCGATAAGTGTTAGATCTTTCTTAGGCAAGGAATTTATATCAGTATTGAGTGCGCATGCTTTCAAAATATTCCTAATATAAAAGGATTTACTTAAAAATTCTATAATATTTCTTTCTCAACACATATAATTTAATACTTACGTGTATTTGTTATAATCATATGACTTTCCAAAAAGAATGTTATCTCGAATTGTACCACGTTGTAACCATGGAGTTTGCTTTACATATGCAAAACCCTTTTCTATATCATGTACTGCTATTGTACCATGAACTTTAAATATTTCACCTAAAATACCATCTAAAAGTAACGATTTTCCGCTACCTACTTCTCCCTTAATACCAATTAAATGCCCCTGGAATAAAATATACAATTTATAAACCTTGATATAATAAAAAAACAGATTATAATATTATTACCTTTGGAATTGTAATATTAATGTCATGTAAACTAAAAGTACCATTGTCTTCAAAGGCAGCAGTCTTTTGAGACTCTGAACTACTAGATGGGCTTAAGACATTTTGACATGTATGGAGATCATTTTGCTCCACATTTTGATTTGTTCTTATCGTTACATTTTGAAGCATTAAATCTATTCCGGGAGGGGGTTTGGCATAATATGATGTCATATCGACATCTGGTAACTATATTAAATTGACGTTCATTAATATTTTTAAATCAATTTCAAACTCGCAAATATACTACTAAACTGCAACTTCAACTCACATCTAACATTCTCTGAATTCTCTTAAGTGATACCCAAGCTTCTGTAAGACCATTTAACACCCATGGAAACGCATTTAGTGGAAGTATTAGCATGTTCAACAATGCCATACTAGTAAATACAGTTTTTGCATCAAGCTTATTTCCAAGAAGTACATATGTAGTAAATGATAGTATGGAAATAAAGGCTGGTGTTGTAGCCCAGAAGTAAACATACAAAGCATCTAAGTATTTTCTTCTGCGTAAATACTTAATCTCGTTTTCACGTAATTCTAAACAGAAAAAAAGAAAGACATAAAAAATTATGCATACAAATAAATGACCAAAAATAAATTCACGTTTTTTATAATATACGAACTTAATATATTTCGTAAGAAGTGATCTTCCCACACGTTTAATTTAATTGTAGTTATTCCACGTAATGTTTCTCCTATAAGTCTCACTCTTTGATCTTTGTATTTCATTAGTTTTGTACTAAATTTTCCAATTTGATTTGCTATTACTTTATTTATAGGTATAAGCACTATTGCAAATATAACTCCAGATAGGAATGACACTCCTATTTGCTTATAAAGAAGATATAGTGTCACAATTAACTAAAAAACATACGAATACAGAAACATAATAGGAACTCTTGAATCATTTTTTTAATATAGAAATACAATAAAATAAAAAATTACTTGTAATGGTATGCTCCAAAATGCATGAAAACTTGCACAGCTATTAATAAGTCTATCGCTATCTGTATTCATAAGGTTAACAATTTCACCCAAATTAAATTGTTGCTTCAGTTCAACATTTGGAGAGTGCAAAATCTTTCTGTATAACAAAGTTATAACTGTAGAACGAATTTTTAAACCCACTATAGACACCCAAAATGTGAAATGAGTGTTGCAGAAAGCTCCTGAAATAAAAGAATTATTAGGCCCTTTAGCAAATATTATAACTCATTGCTTATGAATAAGACAAATTTTTTAATTCTTACCAATTAAAGCACTTATAAATATTAATGATGCATATAGATATCCATATAAAATAGTTTCATTTTTGTCTTCAATAAAACCAATTAATTTATTCAATAACAATGGTCCCATAAATGTAGTAGAATCAGTAATGAATTTTAATATTCCAATAGAATAAAATTCCCAACCAAAGCATTTATGTAATAAGTTAAGTAAAGTTATTTTATTTATAATCGTTTGAACATGTGTTTCTAATGCTGAATCAGAATTTTCCATTGTATTAATTCTACTGCTAGTCTATAAAGCATTATTACAGATATAATGGTAAATATTTTGGTTATTAACATAATAAAAAAGGTATAATAATACATTTACCACATTTTGGAAATGTTTATCAATCTTCTGATTGATTGCATTAGTATTGATATATTCTGGTAAGTCAAATAAATCATCTGAATGATTTAATAAACCACGAACACCTTTTTCCATTAGTGGGTTTACCCAATGAAATGTAAGTTTAGATGTTGCGGTTGCATTCTCCATAGCAGTTCCAAGATAAATTGGATCCTGTTCTTCAAGAAATCTTACGTAAGAAGAATTAGGACTATTCAACAGTGCAGTCCGTTCTCCTATCTATAAACATATCTTTCACTGATTTGTGATATCTATGTTTACTTAATAATTCATGATTTTAGATATCATAGAGAATTTGGAAACATTATGTATTTAGTAACAGTTGTCTGAATCTCTTACACTGATAAGCAACTGAGAAATATTAATCACTGATAATACTATAACCTACTATATTGAAAGCGTACAACTTATAATGACTTACTTCATTAAATTGAGATGTCCTCATGTCTCGTAAACTATTATGTCCTGGTATCAGTGTTATAGCATAGAATATTAGTAGAGTGACTACACTGATACTAAATCCCAGTGACAAATTTGGTAAAACATCATTTTCAGGTTTGTGATTTACATGACTTCGTAGTAGCAATATGGAAATAACAGTCAACAAAAATATTAATGCACGAATTGCTACAGGACCACGTGGATTAAAATTCCTTCCTCCTCTTAAACTAAATATAAAACAAAGATGAACAACCCAGGCTAATCCTTCTGTACCTGCCACAAGGTAATCAATAGGTTTAGCAGATAAGACAGTGTTCTTAACTCCAGTTAATATTGGACTGTATTCTTCTGTATTGGAAATAACAGAAGATTCTGTAGTATTCTGAATACTATGCTGTGGAAAAAAGATTGATTTTGCAAAGTCAATAGTACGATTCCATTCATTTCGTATCTGGTGTAATATATTTGAACTTTCCAAAGATGCATCTGGTGTTTTACTCGATGATGTAACATATTCCTGTATTGCATTAGTAGTTGGTACATATTCCGATGATACAGGAATACTATTAGTGAGAATAATATAAGCTCTAAGTATAGGAAGGATTATAAGACATATTGTAATTATAATTCTAAAATTTATAGCATAATTAGAATTAAAATGGCGAGTAACATATGCATTTCTTTTGCCACAGTAATATGCAGATATTATAGCAATGCAGATTAAAACTGGAATCTGAAAAGTATTTAAAAAATATAATAATATGTATGATTTATATACATAAAATAAATCTTTTAATAGCGAATTACCTGAAGACAAAGTTGTTGAAAACAAACATCAAGATCATGTGTATTTGAATTTAAAGGCCTAAAGTCCTCATGGTACCCACATAATTCTGTCCAATTCCATTTCCACGTTTCTCCACCACCAATTAACCAATTATCCATATTTTAAATCTACAAATACCAAATTAGGAAATGCAATACATAACAATCTCCTATGGCTGGATATATTAAAAAGGAATTCAATGCTTAATATATAGTAAGATAATAAAAGTAAGAAGTTTACATTATAATCAATTAATAACCGCATAATTATTTTATGAAATTTCTCATCTATTATTCAAAATAATATAATTGTTTGCATAAAATCGAAATAATAATTAAAAGACAACCTGCAATAATATAATATGTTATATTATAAAATACTTACTCGTAAAATATATATTTCAATTTATAGAACACTGTATACATACATACATTTGTACATATACTTAATATTTGTTACACATTTCGTGATGTATCATGTTTCGAATCAACCTTACATTAAAGCAAATTTGTGGGTTAGGTTTTTCATGACAACTAACATCAATGACGCATATGATGTGAATTGTACAAAAAATCTAGATTAAATTAAATATAAAAACAAACCTATTGTTTCAAAAATAGCTTACATCGTAAATAAATATGGAATAACAATATATAAACTAATATATTTATATTAATTAATCACATTCTTTTAGTTATCTTTACATCGTGATCATAAAATAAAAGTTTGGTTAAATATGAGCAAGAAAGAAAATATACAAAATTATGCACCAAAAATGATTGTTGATGACAAAAAAAATGTTAATAACACACAAAACCCTACTTTGGATGAACAGGATAAAAGTTTAGAAGAAGAATTATTATGTTATGTAGCAAAGACAAAAGCAATTTTTAAAAGTCAACAAAAAGATGATCCAGATTTAACTTTTGAAGAAAAATTAACAATTGCACGTAATATTCTTCACAAAAGTTACTGTTTATTTTTATCTAAGTTTGGACATTATATGAAAAAAGAACATTTAAGATTTTTTGAAAAAAATAAAGATGAGGATTATGAAGTTGCTTATCATTTTAACAGATTACAAAGGTATTTTAATAGTTCTGCAAGACAGACAGATGTCAGAAATAGAAGATATCAAGCTTTAAAAACTTTAATACAAGAAGGAGAATATTTTAGTGAAACTGAGATGATGAAAAGAAATCCATTATTATATGAGCACTTAATTGGGCAATATATGACTGAAAAACAGAAGAATATTAGGGATAATATAGATATTAAAAATATTACTTTTGTGAATTTATTAATGGAAAGTATTGAAAGAGATAGATTAAATGAAAAACAAAAGTTACAAGTAGAAGAAGAACAAAATATAATGGAAGAGAATGATTCAGATGAAGAACAAGAGGATACATGTGCTTCTGAGTATAATGAGGAAAAGATATTATGGGGTAGAACATCTGAATCACAAAATAATATACAGCATAAAAGTGAAAAAGTACAAAATCCACATAGTATTTCTAATTTTGAGAAGCAAATACTTAAACAAGAATTTATAACAAATATGTATCAAAACTTTTTAGATGGGAAAGATACAGATTTTGATTACAGGTATTTATATGTATATAATTTCAATAATAATATTTCAATTTAATGTTTACACAAATGTTATTTATTATTTGTAATGTTTACAAATATACATATATATATTTGTTGTCTTTTTAGCACCATTGATGACAATGAAGCATATGATAATATAGATTTAAGGACACAGGATGAAGAAGATAAATATTTTGATTCTGAATCACCTGAAACTATAGGTCCAGCTAAAGATTCAAATGAAACTGAACCTGAGGATGAATTGGATATTTATATGAAATCATTGAAGGTTAATTAATATTTCACAGTTCATGATCAGTTCATACTAAAAGTTCTGATTCATAAAAAGATTATTTATTCAATAGGAGTAGGTTGCGACAGATACGCTCCCCTTGGATTATCTAGTATGCGACGAGTACTCTCAGATGTAATCTTGTAAATGTACAGTAATTTAAATGTGATATTTATAAATAAAAATATACAAAAGCAGAAAAGTGAACATATATATTTATTTTTTATTATATACTTAATGAATACTTAAGGAATACTTAGTTTAAAATTATTTAAATATTTATATTTATATTGCATAAATACTGAATTAAAGACAGAAGTATATCACTATATAAATAGCGACAAATTATTCATATGGTTTAACATAAATACAATTTCATTTTCTATGACCAGCAGATCAGATTAATATAAATATCATTTTCCCTATATCTAATTCTAACAAGGAGAGTGTGAGTCCTTCAGGTCACCAATTTAGTTGAAACTTTGCAGGTTTGTAGACTATGTCATGCAGTTCAAGAATATGTATCCGCATATAACCGCAACTATTCAATAGTTTTTGAGATATTTATGATCAAAGTATTATAACACACCTAACTACAGACTTATTTCCTATCCTCTACAATCGGAGCTATAGGTTAACGGCAACATTCGAAAATTCCTATGCTGAAGGTCTGGGGTTTGATTCTTCCGTCCGTAATTGATATTTTCTTTCTCAATCTATTTTTATTTTGTGTTCATTTTTCGCCTATGGAAACATTGTAAATAAACAATCGTCAATGAAATTTCTTAATAAAAAAATTTTTTCTTTACGAATTCTCTAGATAGTATATATTTATTACAAAATAATAAGAATATTATACAAGAAAAATACTTTTCTATAGCAATCTTATTTATTACAAGAAATACAAAACCTATCGCTCAGGTAAGTATTAATTATTAAATTAAATATTGTATAAGAATGTTGCCTATAATTCCAACTTTGCTGTGCAGCTATATATGTCTATTGGATTCTAGGTCGGCTAACCATATGACATACAAGATAGAAATCTTTGATGGTCAAATAAAGATTCAGAAAATGAAGATGGGGTAGGCAGATAAAAGAATAAAACTAATTTAGGTGATGGCCTCTTATAACAACTAGATATAGAGAATACAGTGAGATTGAAGTAAAGCAGGAGTAAAGTAGAAATCATATATGATTGCAGAATTTAGGCCTCATAGTATTATTCTTTGTAATGAAACATTTTGTTACAGAACTTCAATCTTTTATCATTTGGTAAAGAAGCAGAGGAAGATGATGAAGAATCTGTGATATTGAATAAAAAATTTAGTGGTAGAAGCAAATCAGCTCTTGATCATTTAACTGATTCAAAATTAAGCACACAACCAGCTGTTGAACTGCCTAGACTTCCAAATAAAAAAAGGAAAGAAGGCCGTAGTAGTGATAGGGAAAGTGAGAATGAAGTAAAAAGTCAAGAAGAATTAGAAATTATGAAGAAAGAGAAAGAGTTGGTTTATTGTTTAGATTATAACTATGTTATAGAATGTGGGAATTTTTATTGACTGTCTTATATTTATATTTTCAGAGCAATGAAGCAAAGGATAAAAAATAAATTAAAAGTTACAAGAAAGAAATCGAAGAAAGTGGAAAATTATAAAATAGATGATGTTGAAGATGATGAAGATATAAGGAAAAATGAATAGGAAAGCGAGGAGATGCGCGATAAGAGAGATAGATGCAAGATAAATCAATATCTAGAATTATTAGGATAGGTCGTGTATTTGAATAGTATCATTTGCAGTAGTGTGTATATGTCTATAAATATTGTTACATATATATATGGTCATTATAATGAGAATTATTACATGATAAGTATTACGAAACATCTTTTTCTTGCAACGGTCCGTGATACGGACATCCATTCAGATGTTATCTACTTTATATGTCATTGTTTATTAGGTCGTTAACAAATAACGTGTATATGTGAAACTTTCAAAGCGAATAAAAAGTAACTAACGTTTAGCTACTATAACAATTACAGTTTCATTTTCTTTTTACCAAGAACAAAGTCACTCATCTTCATCTGTGACTTCATGTTCGTCCATAATTAATTCATCAACTTTTAAAATTGCATCATAAAAGCACAGTCTTAGCCAGCTTTCTAATAGAATTCTGGATATGCATTCGTTGTAATTTAAATCATTATTAGTGATTATTGCGTAGAGTGTTTGAACAATTGCCGAAGATACAAATAGTTTATCTTTCCATTAGTATAATGGAATAATTAATAATTCAAGTTCATGAATTAATTATAGAAATTTGGAATAATTCGTAACAGAAATATGTTTATATTTGCTTCATTGATATTAATAAATATAGGAAACATCGTTTGATATTCTACATCGATACTTTATTGTATAGCTATTTCAAAGATGCAACATTTTCCCGCTACAAAATTACCTAACGTTTCCGGCTGCAGCCAACTTCCAGTTGGCGGCAAGCAAGCATACCGGTAACAAATGGTGGAATATTTTCACGCGTCAAAGTGAAATATTAAATCTCAAAATGTTTCGTGAAGTAGTGATATTTCTGATTGACGTTATAATTATTTTACGAAGTTCAAGATTACTAACTGTGAATATTTCTTCGGTGGTCGTATACTACATGTGAGAAAAGGGATATTGCATAGTGCAAATCATATAACGATACATGTGGAAAATAAAGTGGTGTGAGTGCGGGACCATATAATACTACCGTATTGTCCGTTACAATCTGCTGTAGAAAATTCTATATTTCGACTGCCCACTGCAATATTTGATCAACATTACGGAATAGGCAGCTTTTTAATAGATTTTTCAATTTTTCTTCAATCTTGACGTTCAATCGCAACATAGTTATGTATTATCGCAATTACATTTTAAATTTCGATTGTGGATTAAAATATTTCATTCCTCCTGTATAGAATAGATTGTTCTCCAACCAGTAGGGCAATTATTTTACGATTGAAGGTGCATATATGAAACAAAGTAACGAAAAAGCAAGTGCCTGTGAAATCGTTCTGCACACTATACGTTTTTCGCCTATATTTCTGAAATTAGGCTATTCGGTTAGATTTTTTCGGTATAGCAGCGTAGAGTGATTTTTTCTGTAACAGGATTGGATATTTTTTTTCGGTTTGGAGCGTACGTTTCCGAGTAATAGTGGAGAGAGTGTCCGTGGCTGACAGATCGTGCTGCGCAATTAATTTTTTCGGCTTCTAGTTTTTGAATTAGGCTTCTTGAATCGGATTCTTCCACTGATTCGCGTAGAGTGATTTTTTCCTTAATGGGATTGGGTATTTTTTTTCGGTTTCGAGCGTGCGTTTTCGGGAAATAGTACCGGAAGTGTCAGTGGCTATCAGATCGTGCAGCGCAATTTACTTTTTTGGATTCTAGTTTTTGAATTAGGCTCGTTGAATCGGATTTTTCCACTGATTCGCGTAGAGTGATTCTTGTTTTAATGGGATTGGATATTTTTTTTCGGTTTTGCGAGTGCGTTTTCGAGAAGTAATGACCAAAGTGTGAGGGTCTGTCAGATCGTGCTGCGCAATTTACTTTTTTGGCTTCTAGTTATTGAATTAGTCTTTTTGAATCGGATTTTTCCACTGATTCGCGTAGAGTGATTTTTTCCTTAACGGGATTGGATATCTTTTTTCGGTTTCGAGCGTGCGTTTTCGAGAAATAGTGCCGGAAGTGTCAGTGTCTCTCAGATCGTGCTGCGCAATTTACTTTTTTGGCTTCTAGTTTTTGAATTAGTCTTTTCGAATCGGATTTTTCCACTGATTCGCGTAGAGTGATTTTTTCCTTAACGGGATTGGATATTTTTTTTCGGTTTCGAGCGTGCGTTTTCGAGAAATAATGCTGGAAGTGTCAGTGTCTCCCAGATCGTGATGCGCAATTTACTTTTTTGGCTTTTTGTTTTTGAATTAGGCTATTTGAATCGGATTTTTCCACTGATTCGCGTAGAGTGATTTTTTTCTTAACGGGATTGGATATTTTTTGTCGGTTTCGAGCGTGCGTTTTCAAGAAATAGTGCCGAAAGTGTGAGTGGCTGTGAAATCGTGTTGCGCAATTGACTTTTTTGGATTCGATCTTCGAAATTAGGCTTTTGGATTCGGATTTTTTCATCTAACAGTGTAGAGTAGAATTTTCTCTATTGGGATTGATGACTTTTTTTCGGTTTCGTGCGTGCGTTTTCCAAGAATAGTGCCGAATGTGTCAGTGGCTCTCAAATCGTGCTGCGTAATAGACATTTTTCTTTTCTATTTCCAAAATTTGGAATTTTGATTTGGTTTGTTCTATATATGAGTGAAGAGTGGAATTTTCTCTAACTGGATTGGTTGTTCTTTTGGGGTTTCGCGCTTTCGTTTTCAATGAATAGTGCCGATTGTGTCAGTGGCTGTGAAATCGTGCTGCGTAATAGACATTTTTCTTTTTTATTTCCGAAATTAGGCTTTTTGATTAGGTTTGTTCTACATATCAGTGTAGAGTGGAATTTTCTCTAACGGGATTGTATACTTTTCTTCAGTTTGTTTCAGATTACGTTCCTGTGGTCGCGGTTTAACTGCTATGGCTAATGCTAGAGAAGATGACAATGGTTCCTAATTCTTCTTTACTCTTCGTTCCCAATTAGATTTGCAAAATAAACATACAATCTTTTGTCAGGTTATTGGAGAAACTATATTTGACATGCTTGAAGTTGAAGAAACACTTGTAGATGAGGTAAATTTAATGTTTACATAAAAATATATCAAGAATTAATATAAATATAATATTTCCTTCGTTTTGTAGAATGATAGACCAGTTTATCCTCCGAGATTGATAAAAATTATAATATTGAACAATCCATTTTCTCATATTTTACCAAAGATAATAATACAGGATAGTGATGAAGCAAAGGACAGTTCAAAAACTGAAGCAGCAGCAATAAAGTAAAGATCATATATGTTTGCAGAATTTAACCCTGATAGTATTATTCTTTACAATGAAAAATTTTGTTACAGAGATTTCAATCTTTTCAATCATTTAGTGAAGAAGCAGAGGAAGATGAAGAAGAATCTGCGATATTAAATAAAAAGTTT